TGTTCTTGTTGTTGTTGTTGTTCTTGTTGTTGTTGTTATTGTTGTTGTTGCTGATGTTGCTGCTGTGGTTGTTGTTGTAGCTGCTGTTGTTTTTGTTGTTGCTGTTGTTGTTGCTGGTGTTGTTGTTATTGCTGCTGCTGCTTGTGTCGTTGTTGTTGCTGCTGCTGCTGGTGCTGCTGTTGTTTTTGCTGTTGCTGCTGCTGCTGCCGCTGTTGTTGTTGCTGCTGCTGATGTTGTGGTTGTTGTTGTTGTTGTTGTTGTTATCGCTGTTGTTGTTCTAGTAACTGTAGTTGTTGTTGTTGTTTTTTTGCCGCTGTTGATGTTGTTGTTGTTGTTGTTGTTGTTGTTGTTGTTGTTGTTGTTGTTGTTGTTGTTGCTGTTGTTGTTGTCGCTGCTGCTGCTGGTTTTGTTAGTGGTGTTGTTGTTGCTGCTCCTGCGGCTGCTGTTGCTGACTTCTCATTCCTGAAAAATAATTATTGTTGATCCCCCCCACCGGTGCATATTGTTTTTTCTTAATCAAAGTGTGCCCCTCGACGCTCGCACCTTGTTGTTTGACAGGGAAAGTCTTCCTGCTCAAACTGGGCCCCTGGCCCCCGGGTTACAACAACAACTGAGACTTCCTTGCAATTTTGCCTGGGCCCCCGCTCCCGCCCGAGACTTCCTCGCATTTTATTCAGGAATCGCGCTCTAGCTTGGGACTTCCTCTTAACTTATTCATGAATCGCTCTCCCGGCGCTCTGGAGTCGCGCTCTCGCTCGAGACTTGCTTGCAACTTACTGAAGAATGGCCTTGCGTTGGAATTTTTAGCAATTTGCCCAAGCGCCGCGCTCCCGACACCCAGGCACACAGGAGTCGCGCCCGTTGTGGCCCCATGTGCATGCCTTTCGTGGCCCCGCTGTCGCCATTTGCGCCCCCCTCACTGTCCTACGTGGCCCAGTTTCTACCCTCAGTGGCCCCGTCGTTGCCTTCTGTGGCCCCGCATTATCTGCCTTTCGTGGCCCCCGCTCGTTCACGCTCTTCGTGGCCCCATACGCATTCCCTTCGTGTTCTCGCTGTCGCCCTTCGTGGCCTACTTCGTCTCCTTCGTGGCCCTGCTGTCGTTCTCTGTGGCTCTCGCTTTCGCTCGTCGTCGCCGTCGACGTCGTCGTCGCCGTCGTCGCAGACGTCGTCGTCGTCGTCGTCGTCGTCGTCGTTGTCGTTGTCGTCGTGCTCCGTCCCCTGTCCGTCCCTCTTGGTTCGGGCCGACGGTCCGCGGCCGCCCCGCCGCTTGCCGGGGCCGGCCTGCAGGGAAGAAGTGCATGCCCCCCAAAAAGGGGTTCGATCGAAGACGAAGTTGGCGGGTAATTATCGAGGGTTTGGGGAATGCGCGTTATTGGACACTCGAGCAGATAAGGGCGAACTGTCTTGAAGTGATTGTTGTTGTTGTTGGTGTTGTTGCTACTGCTGCTGCTGTTGTTGTTGTTCTGCTGCAGCAGCTGCTGCTGTTGGTGTCGTTGTTGTCGTTGTTGTTGGTTGTTGTTGTTGTTCTTGTTGTTGTTGTTGTTGTTCTTGTTGTTGTTGTTATTGTTGTTGTTGCTGATGTTGCTGCTGTGGTTGTTGTTGTAGCTGCTGTTGTTTTTGTTGTTGCTGTTGTTGTTGCTGGTGTTGTTATTGCTGCTGCTGCTTGTGTCGTTGTTGTTGCTGCTGCTGCTGGTGCTGCTGTTGTTTTTGCTGTTGCTGCTGCTGCTGCCGCTGTTGTTATTGCTGCTGCTGCTGATGTTGTGGTTGTTGTTGTTGTTGTTATCGCTGTTGTTGTTCTAGTAACTGTAGTTGTTGTTGTTGTTTTTTTGCCGCTGTTGATGTTGTTGTTGTTGTTGTTGTTGTTGTTGTTGTTGTTGTTGTTGTTGTTGTTGTTGCTGTTGTTGTTGTCGCTGCTGCTGCTGGTTTTGTTAGTGGTGTTGTTGTTGCTGCTCCTGCGGCTGCTGTTGCTGACTTCTCATTCCTGAAAAATAATTATTGTTGATCCCCCCCACCGGTGCATATTGTTTTTTCTTAATCAAAGTGTGCCCCTCGACGCTCGCACCTTGTTGTTTGACAGGGAAAGTCTTCCTGCTCAAACTGGGCCCCTGGCCCCCGGGTTACAACAACAACTGAGACTTCCTTGCAATTTTGCCTGGGCCCCCGCTCCCGCCCGAGACTTCCTCGCATTTTATTCAGGAATCGCGCTCTAGCTTGGGACTTCCTCTTAACTTATTCATGAATCGCTCTCCCGGCGCTCTGGAGTCGCGCTCTCGCTCGAGACTTGCTTGCAACTTACTGAAGAATGGCCTTGCGTTGGAATTTTTAGCAATTTGCCCAAGCGCCGCGCTCCCGACACCCAGGCACACAGGAGTCGCGCCCGTTGTGGCCCCATGTGCATGCCTTTCGTGGCCCCGCTGTCGCCATTTGCGCCCCCCTCACTGTCCTACGTGGCCCAGTTGCTACCCTCAGTGGCCCCATAGTTGCCTTCTGTGGCCCCGCATTATCTGCACTTCGTGGCCCCCGCTCGTTCGCGCTCTTCGCGGCCCCATACGCATTCCCTTCGTGTCCCCGCTGTCGTCCTTCGTGGTCTACTTCGTGCCCTTCGTGGCCGTGCTGTCGTTCTCTCTTGCTCTCGCTTCGCTCGTCGTCGCCGTCGTCGTCGTCGTCGCCGTCGTCTTCGTCGTCGTCGTCGTCGTCGTGGTCGGTCCCCTGTCCGTCTCTCTTGGGGTCGCGTCGACGGTCCGCGGCCGCCCCGCCGATCAGCGCTGCCGCTGGCCAGGCCGACGGTCCGCGGCCGCCCCGCCGCCTGCCGGGGCCCGGCCTGCAGGGAAGAAAGGTGTACCCCCCCAAAAGGGTTCGATCGAAGACGAAGAGGGCGTGTATCGGGGGGTTGGGAAATGCGCGTTGTTGGACAGTCGAGCATATAAGGGCGATCAGTCTTAACATTATTGTTGCTCTTGTGTTGTTGTTGTTGTTGTTGTTGTTGTTGTTGTTGTTGTTGTTGTTGTTGTTGTTGTTGTTGTGGTTGTCGTTGTTGGTTGTTGGTTGTTGTTTGTTGTTGTTGGTGTTGTTGGCGTTGCGGTTGTTGTTGTTGTTGTTGCGGTTTTTGTTTTTGTTGTTGTTTTCGTTTTCGTTTCTGTTGTTGCTGCTGGTGTTGTTGTTGTTTTTGCTGTTGTTGTTGCTGTTGCTGTTGCTGCTGCTGCTGGTTTTGTTGTTGTAGTTTTTGTTTTTGTTGTTGTGGTTGTGGTTGTTGTTGTTGTGGCTGTTGTTGTTACTGTTGTTGTTGCTGTTGCTGCTGCAGTTGTTGTTGTTGTTGTTGTTGTTGTTGTTGTTGTTGTTGTTGTTGTTGTTACTGCTGCTGTTTTTGTTGCTGCTGTTGTTGTTGTTGCTGCTGATTCTTCACGGCTGACGAATAATTATAGTTGATCCCCGCTTCCGGTGCACATTGCTTCTCTTCAATTGAAGTGCCCTTCCCGGCGGTCGCGCCCTGTTTTTCATGAGGGAAAGCCTTGAGGCTCAAACTGTGCCCCTGGCCCCCGGTTTACAACAACAGCGGCTCCCGCTTGATATTTCCTCGAAATTTACTCCCGTCCCCCGCTCCCGCTTGAGACTTCCTTGCAATTTACTCAAGAAGCGCGCTCCCGCTTGAGACTTCCTCACAATTTCCTCAGGATCCGCGCTCTTGCCTCTCAGGAATCGCGCAGTCGCTGGGGACTTCTTCAAATTTACTTTGGAATCTCTCTCTCGCTGAAAATTTCCCGGCTAATCACGCCGAAGTCACGATCGATCCGCCCGCTCGGCCCGCCCGTCAGGGTCAGGCCCTTCGTGCCCCATGCTCGCTCGCGCCCTTTGTGCCTCATTGCTGCCCTTCGTGGCCCCTCCCCTTGTGGCCCAGTCCCGATGCTGCCCTCAGTGGCCCCTCGCTGCCCTCTGTGGCCCATATACACGGTCTCCCCTTTTTTCCTGTTTTAGGGGCTGCGCCGCGCCAACTACACGTGCCAAGTAATAAAGATGCACCCGCACGCTCTCGCCTGAAACTTCCCCACAAATCATTCAGGATTCACGCTTTGATCCGCCCGCTGGACTCGCCCATTAGGGCCGCCCGCCTGGCTTGTGAAGGCAGGCCCGGCGGCTCGCTTGGAAGCTCGCCGGGTGCTTTCACGTCCGCGCGCCCGACCCGCCCGTTAGGGTCCACCCGCGGGTCCGCGGGTTTGCCCGCCCGCCCGACCCGCCCGTCGGGGACCGTTGCCCGACCCAACCGTCCGGGTCTGCCGCTTGTTTTCGGGCTCCTCTCTTAAGCCCCCCACCTTCTTATCTCTCTCGTCCGCAGTTCTGCTCCCTCCCTCTTGTCCCTTGCCGCCCTCCCTTCGCCCACTCCTTTCCTCCTCGTTTTTTTATTGTTGTTCCTCTCTCTCTCTCTCTAGCTCTCTCTCTCTCTCTCTCTCCCTCTCTCTTTCTGACGCTCTCTGTCTCTCACTCCTTTCTCATTTCTCTTGCTCTTTTAGGGGTTGCGCCCAATACACGTGGCAGGTCAGGAAGATGTACCCCCGAGAGGGGGCACGATGGTAGACGAAGAGGGCGGGTGTCGGGGGTCTGGGATGTACGTGGCGAGGTACGCGCAAGCAGATAAGTGCGCACGACTCGAAGTGACTGTGGTTGTGTTTGCTGTTGTTGCTGTTGTTGCTGTTGTTGCTGTTGTTGCTGGCGTTGTTGTCCTACCGTTCTCCCTTCCATCAAGGGAGGAAAAAACACCCCGACCCCGACAATTGGCGTTTACTAAACGACCCTGGGCGTTTACTAAACGGCCCTGCCCTGTTTGATTCTTTCTTCGGGTGCGTTTACTAAACGGCTTCGCTTGTCGGGGTGGTTATTCTCGGGGTGGATTTTCTGCCCTCCATTCCACGGTCCAGAGGGAAGTCTGGGCCCCCGGCGGCCTCCGCTGGACGCTTTGCCTCCGCCGCGATGCGCGCGGGCCCGGGCCCCCTCCGGCTGGCGCGCCGGCGGCCCGCGGCGCCCTGGCGCCCGGCCGCCGCCCGCCGCTGGGCCGCGGCGTCCGCGCCGCCGCGCCGGGTGTCGGTCATCCATCGGGCCAGGCGAAAGGGGGGATTGGGAAAAGGAGGTTACGAAATCTGCTGCGTGCAGGTGGCTTCGGCCCCACGAGGGGCCCATTCCTCGATGCATGGCCGCCTCCAGGCGCCGGGAGGCGCCGGGAAAGTCAGCCACGTGAGCTGATTCTCGAACCCCCCCTTTGCTGGCCCCCCTTTCGCCCAGCCCGAATCCAGAAGGCAAAGCATTGGCTGCACCTAACAGCGGCCTTTCGCCGGAGTGCCCTTTGACGCGGGCAGCACGCCGGCATCGGCCTCGGCCTCCAGGACCATCGCTTCCCCCCCGTCCCCTCAATACATAATAAAGAAATAATATATATATATGTATATATATACATATATATCTATGTATATGTATCTCTCTATCTATATGTATATACCTGTGTGTCTCGCACTGCATGCTGTCCAGGCACGCCAGACTTCTGAGGCCAAGGCCTTGCCCACCTGGTCCCGGCTGGGCCCGGACGATGTCCGCAGCGGGGGTCGTAGCGTATCGTACCTTTGGTGCGGGCGCACTATGGGGTCCCCAGGCGACTGAGCGCGATGCGCTCGCAGCGTCCTGCGCGCCCAGGTTTGGCATCGCCACGGCCCCCGAAGGTCGCACCCCAGAAGGGCACTCCTGCCCACGGTCACGCACTGCGTGCAGCAGGAGAGCACGACTGTCCGAGCCCCAGAGATCACCGCACCGCAGAAAAGTCGAGGCCGCGTCTTTTCGCCGCTCTCGGCCTCCTGGGGCCCTTGCTGGGCCCTGGGAGCGGGTCGAGTCTTCTGGGGACCCCGCATCGAAAAACAAATCAAGACATCGGATCTCAGGGGCACGACCCTGAGATCCAGGGGTTGCAGCTTTTTCGCACCAGGCGCGCTCTCGCCTGGCGGTCTCGGGCTCCGGGGCCGTCACTGATCGGCCAGGCTCGAAGGACACACAACAGAAAGCTGGGGTCTGGCGCCCCGGTCGTGATTTTAGCGGTGCTGCATTTTCTCGCAACATCGGATCTCAGGGGATGCCATTTCTTGTTTCTGGGGCCGTTGCTCGTTTGCCCCAGACATGTTCGCGTCGTGGCAATTGTCACGACGGTGGGTTTGTGGTCAGTGTCGGCTTCTGAGGGCGATCGCCAGGCCACGAGACGGTCCCAAATAAAAACGGCTGGACGAAAAAAATGGCCCTGGTTGGGGAAACCGCGTAAGGAACGATCAGGACATGGGGTACGTCTGCTGCCCGAGTCCAAGGCCATCGCTCTTTTCTTGCGCCATTATTTGGATCCCCGATTTGAGTGCCTCGAGTCTCCTCCTCCCTCTCCTTTCTCTGCTTCTTCCTGCCCGCGACTTCGCCATGCTCGGCTGCATAATTTACAGGCTTCGGCAGAGCCCCCAGGATCGCTTTACAGATGTCTTATGTTTGTCCAAGAGCTTATCGTCTAAGAGCAAATATGGTGTACACAGACGCTCAGAGCTCTGCGCGGATTTCTCAGATCGGTGCCTGGTCCCCCCTGGCGGCGCCTCCGGCGCTGCCCTAGGCGCGCTCCGCGTGGATCCGAGAAGTCCGCGCGGAGCTCCGCAAGTGTATACTTCCACCGTTTTTTTGTTTTTTTTTTTGGGTGGGGGGGGTGTTTTTCTTTCCCGCGTAGAGTGACACATGAGTCTTGGAGCCTGTCGGGGGTTCCAGCATTACTTTCGTGCTACATTGTTTCTGGATTGGCGGCTTTCAATGTTTCTGGACTTTATGGGGGGCCCTCGTCGCCATGTGGATCCGCCTAGACATTCTGGTCAGAACGCTCTCCAGGAGAGTCTGGAGGAGGCAAGGAGCTGTGGTCGACCCTGAGTGAGAAAAAGAGATAAGTTAGCGGCAAGGGGAATTGGTCCTGAGTCTTCCCATATGGTCGCCGTTCCAGAGCCCTTCCCAGGCCCACAGGGCCTTCTGGAGACGGCCTCAGGCGAAGGAGCTGGTCCCTTGGCAGGTCCCAGGGTTTCTGTCACGTCTCCTCCAGGGTCTGCTCTCACGCCGAAATTGTAAAACAGCATATATAGGAACGGATCCCCTGCATCGGCGCTGCAGCTCCCTCGGCACATACCCCGTCGCGTTATGCGCGCTGCGGAGGGTCTGTGTGTGGGAATGTGGCTCCCGCGCCGGCACAAGAAATTTCCCGCGGACATCCGAAAGTGTGTGCTCGTGCAGTTTTTTTTGTCTTCTGTCATCGGCAGCGGCAACTGGGGCAGCGTTGCGGCCAGGATCGCCGCCCAGAATGCGGCCAGGCACCCCGAGTTCCACGACGAGGTGCGCATGTGGGTCTACGAGGAGCAGGTGGGTGGGGAGAAGCTGAGCAGCATCATAAACGCCCGGAACGAGAACGTGAAGTACCTTCCTGGCGTCAAGCTGGGTGAGAACCTGCGGGCGGAGCCGGACCTGGCGAGAGCGGTGGAGGGGTCTGGCATGCTGATTTTTGTGACTCCTCACCAGTTCATCAAGGGCCTGTGCCCGACGATCAAGCCCGCGCTTCCGTCGGGGGCCAGCGCCATCTCGCTGATCAAGGGCATGGACGTGACCCCGGATGGCTTCGAGCTGATCAGCGCCCTGGTGCATCGCGAGCTGGGCGTGGAGTGTTCCGTGCTCATGGGCGCCAACATCGCCAACGAGATCGCCCTCGAACGCTTTAGCGAGGCTACCGTGGGGCACGCCGAGGGTCAAGAGGCCTCGGGGCAGCTATGGAGAAAGCTTTTCCACACCGACTACTTCCATGTGACTGCCGTCCCCGACGTGGTCGGGTGCGAGCTGTGTGGCACACTTAAGAACATCGTCGCGATCGGGGCGGGCATGGTGGACGGCCTGGAGCTGGGCAACAACACGAAGGCGGCCATCATGAGAGTGGGCCTGGTGGAGATGCGCACCCTGGCGCAGGAGTGCTTCCCCTCCGTCAGGACGGACACCTTCTTCGAGAGCGCGGGGGTCGCGGACCTCATCACCACGTGCTTCGGGGGCCGCAACAGGAAGTGCGCCGAGGCGTACGTCA